GAATTCGCAATGTTATCTTTTGACCTTACATAGTCAATAGTGAGAACTCTAGTTGAGAATAGTTGTCTTATGGTATTGTATCTATGACGTATATATCTAGACTTACCATTGTACATGTTACTCCGTGCCCTTCCTATTGCTAATTGACTGTCACAATATATGCAAATTGCTGGCACAGGTTTTAACCATCTTGGAATATTCTTTGAAAAGTTGTGCAATCATTCGGCCTCTTCACCACATTTATCTAGAGCTATAAACTCAGATTTCATCGTAGATCTAGCTATAACTGTTTGCTTAGAGGATTTCCACGATATGGCAGCACCGCCCAATGTGAACACAAATCCCCTGGTAGACTTTGAGTCTTTTATATCAGATATCCAATTAGTATCACTGTATCCTTCAATGACCGCTGGATATTTGGTATAATGAGTTCATAGTCACGAGTATATCTTAAGTACCTTAGTACTCTTACTATTCCTTTCCAGTGATCAGCTCTTGAATTACTCGTGTATCTACTCAGTTTACTGATTGTGTAGGCTATATCCGGTTTTGTACAACTCATCAAGTACATTAGACTTCCAATAACTCTCGAGTATTATATTTGATAGACACTTTCACCTTTATTTTTAGATAGATGTTAACTTATATCTATTGGTTTTCTAGCCAAGCCACTATCATCTTTATTGAACTTTTCCAAAATTTTGTCCACATAATGTGACTGACTTAGAACAAGCTCATCTGATATTCTTGAGATTTTGACTCCAAGTATAACATGAGCTAAACTCATATCTTTCATGTCAAATCTTGAATTGAAAATATTTTTAGTGGATTCAATCATCTTATTGTCACTAACACAATAAGTGTGTCATTAACGTAAAGATACAAAATGACAAAACCATCTTTAGTATCTTTAACGTAAACACATTTGTCACACTCATTGATTTTAAATCCACTCTCTATCATGACATCATCAAATTTTCATGTCATTGTTTGGGTGCTTGTTTCAAGTCATATAGTGACTTCACCAATTTACAAACTTTTTTTTCTGCCCTGGTGACGAAAACCCCTTGGGTTGTTCTATATAGATTTTTTCTTCAAAATCTCCATTTAGAAAAGCACTTTTAACATCCATTTGATGTACTTCAAGATTTCGCAAAGTAACAATCGCAAGTATCAACCTAATGGATATTATTTTCGTCACTGGAGAATACATATCAAAGTAATCAAGGCCTTCCCTTTGTTTGTAACATTTTATTATTAATCTGGCCTTGTACTTTTTAATAGTTCCATCTGCTCTCATTTTCCTTTTGAAAATCCATTTATAGCCTAGTGGTTTGCTTCATAGAGGAAGATCCACTAGCTCTTATATATGATTTTGCAGTATGGAATCTATCTCACTTTTAATGGCCTCCTTCCATTGAAGTCCTTCCAAGGAATTCACAGCATCTTGATAACTTTGAGGTTCACTTTCTAGCATATAGGTTAGAAAATCAGGACTATACGATTTTTCTGTCCTTTCTCGTTTGCTACGTCTAACCTCAGTCTCATCTTCCATTTCTTCCTTATAACTATTTTCAGTCATAGTCTCATATGTTCGTTTGGAGGAGCTTGCTTCCTCTTTGGACTTCTACGGAAATACATGTTCAAAGAATGAAACATTTCTTGATTCCAATATCGTATTTTTGTGGATGTCTGGGATTTTAGAATCATACACAAGAAACCGATAAGCACTAATATTGTGTGCATAGCAAATGAAGATGCAATCTACCATTTTTTACCCCATCCTTACCTTCTTTGATGTTGGAACAGCCACTTTAGCAAGACACCCCCACACTCGTAAGTATTTATAGGAAGATTTTTGTCCTTTCCATAACTCATAAGGGATCTTTTCTATTTTCTTTCGGGGCACCTTATTTAAAAGGTAATTTGCTGATAACACAACTTTCCCCCACATGTTCTGAAGTAACCCAGAACTTACTAGTATTACATTCATCATTTCCTTTAAAGTACGATTTTCCGTTCAGCAACACCGTTTTGTTGTGGTGAATAAGGTGCGATGGTTTCATGTATGATTCCGAGTTGTGCACAAAATTTCGCAAATGGTGATTCATACTCACCACCTCGATCGCTTATTAACACCTTAATTTTCTTATTAAATTGAGTTTCAACTTTACTCTTATAGAGAACAAATTTCTCTATAACTTCATCTTTACTTTTTAACAAATGCACATAACAGTATTTGGTACTATCGTCGACAAAAGTAATGAAATACTTGTTGCCACCTCTTGTTTGTACAAGTTTTAAGTCACATACGTCACTGTGAATTAAATCAAGTGATTTTGTATTCCGTTCAATTGATTTAAACGATAACCTTGTCAATTTTGTCTCAATACAAGTTTCACACTTATGTTTTGAATCAATGTGGAACTCAGGTATGCAATTCAAGTTAACTAGTCTTTGTAAAATATCATACTTAACGTATCCTAATCTACCATACTACAAATTGGAAGACTCAAGCAAATAAGCATAAGAGTTTGCTTTATTCATTTTATTGAGCTTAAACATACCGTCGGAAACATATCCTTTTCCAACAAACATTCCACTTTTTGATAAAATAACTTTGTCCGACTCAAATACAATGCGAAAGCCATGCTTATTCAAAAGTGACCCGAACACTAGTTTTTTGCGAATTTCGGCACATATAGCACATTGTTGAGAGTCAGCTCTTTTTCCAAGGTCATCTTCAAAACCACCTTTCCTTGACCTTTGATTTTCGAAGTTGCTGAATTTTCCATGAACAACTTCTCCCCATTCTCAATTACTTCAAACGCTGCAGCAAACAGCTCCTTATCATAGCACACATGCCTAGTAGCACCGGTGTCAATCCACCACTCCTTAGGGTTTGAACCCACCATGTTCGCTTCAAAAATGACAGCTGAGAGATTCAGCTTTGACACGTCTTGTGCCATGTAGTCAACCACATTTGTTTCTTTCTTATTCTTTGGAAATCTGCACTCCGAAGACTTGTGGCCCACTTTGTCACAATTGAAGTATTTTCCTTAAAATTTCTTCTTAGAAATTTCGCCTTTCGGTCCTTGCTTGGTCCTTTTGCCAATGGATGACCCAGACTTATTTTTGTAGGTCTTACTACTTTGACCATGCTCCACAACATTAGCTTTAGCAGCACCAGGATTGAACCACTTATTTTCGAAACTCTTGTTGTCTTCTTCAATTTAAAATCTAACAATTAGTTCTTCGACGTTCATTTCCTTTCGCTTGTGTTTCAAATAATTCTCGAAATTTTCCCATGCGGGGGGTAATTTTTCAATAATTGCATACATTTGAAAAGTTTCACTCAAAATCATCCCTTCGGCATCAATTTCATGAAGAATCACTTGGAGTTCTTGCTATGTCTGATGACTTTTGTTATAATAGGGCGATTGCTGCTATGCAAACCTGACCATTGCTACTACTATGATAGCTCGACTATTGTTATATTAGCCTGACTACTGCTATATTGGCCCGATTGTTGCTACGCTAGATTGAACACTACTACCTAAACCTCCCAAAATTCCTTGGAACTAATTTAAAACCGTTTGACGGTTATCATTAAGTCCATTATCCAATTCGTAGACGGAGGTTACCGCTTAATAAGTGGGTGAGAACCGTTTGATGAGTAGATGTGCTGTATTGGACATGTGGATGATAATTGCCTAGCACGATGCCAAGCACCCATAAATACCTCATACACATGCTAGGTATGGGGACACTCTTTTCTTCAAAAAAAAAAAAAAAAAAAAAATCTTCTACCATTTTTTCTCACAATTCTTTAAACCATTCATCTACAAACCATCTCGAATTCACACGTTAGAGGTAAAACGAGGAAGAAAACCCCAGCCTCTTTTTTGTGGGGCTTATCAGAGTAGCAAAAAACACCAGAACAAGCACGTCCAATTGTTTAACGAATTACAAAAATGTTATAAAATTGACCTGAATAAGCACGTCCTAGCTATTAGCTATGATCTGTAATATACTAAGAACATTTTTCAAGAATGCTTTTTAAATTTAAAGAGCATATTATATATGGGTTTTTTTTTTTTTTAATCCCCTTCCTCAAAAAAATGCATTTTGTAATAGTGTTATGATGAATAATGTATGGTTAAAATATATGAGAGTTTTGAAATTGCATGTAATATTATTCGACTAAGAATATGTGGGTGAAATTTAGTCAAATCACTGTTCAAAAATATATTTTGATGGAAAAAATTGGGTTTAAATAAGGGCACAACAAGAAGTACCTTTAAATTTAAAGAATAAATTTTTAGCAGACTCCTACAAATTCTCAATTTTTAACTCTTTATTTTACGTTTTTTCAAAAAAATAAAAATAAATAATATTTAATCTTTTTTTTTTCTCATTTTTACTCAATACATATATTTAAAGATGTCAATGGCCAATCACATATGGTTTGAGTAATCCAAGAGGTGAGCCAGTGAAATTTGTACCTTTATTAAGAGCCTTTTTGACAATCATTATTGTAGAAAAAGTCTCGATTAGAAATTTTTAGGAGAAAGGGTAGTAAAAAAAAATAATAATAAGAATTTTTTTTTGACATACGTGTAAAATATTTTACTATTTGAATGTGTGGTTGAAAATAACCATATAATAAATCATAAAATAAATTAATAATTGTCAAATAGACTCTAAATAACATCGTTATAAACTACAAATAGAGATTGGAGATTTTTTATTTTATAAAGTATAAAATGTAGAGTCTGTTGAAACTTAATTTTAAGGATGGATTTTCTAAAACGACAATGATAATTGTGTTTTATATGTTTATCTAGGTTCAGGATTTCAGAAGTTGATCCACATTTTGAAGTAGCAAAATTGTGCAGGATTGCCGTGATCGAATTATTTTCAAATGTTAATGAAAATGTACATGACATTTGTCACATAATCAAATTGAGAGATAACAAAGACGATAAGAAAGTACTAAATGATGAAAAGTGGATGAAATGAAATTATATAAATCCATCTTCATACAATCCCAACCAAAAAAATAAAAGAGAAAACAGTCCATTAGTGAAACACAAGCAAAACACACGCTACCATTTGTCAAGACAAAATTCAGAGAGTTTCGGTTTAGAACGAAAACCACATTTCAAGGAACATGGTGCTTCAGTTTTCTAATTGTTGAAAATGTTCATTCCTCGTCATCTTCATCACCATCACCGCCAGATGCCTTCTTGGCAGCAGCTTTCTGGTTCTTTCGCTTCACTCTTCCAGGTCGACCACCACCGAAAGGACTAGTGAGGGAGAAGTCAATGTGCTTCTGCGAGTCGACTCTCACCATGAAGGATGGAACATTAACCACCTGCCTCCCAACCCTGGCAGGAATGAACGTAAAACCCATCATCATCATTATACAAACAATTCAGTTGAAAATGTCTTCACCAGTCAACATTTCTCCTATCTGAATAAACTCTCTTTCGGCCATGTTTGGTTCCACTAAAAATCTAGATTAAATAATGTCAAAAATTAATTTTAACCATAGGGATCCACAACTTTTTAACACAAACACGTTTCATCAACTTTTATCAAAATTTACTTAAATCTGATTTTTAGGCTTCAGAAACAGAGGCTGTGATGCATTAACATAAAAGACCCCATGTTTATATTTTAAGAACTGATTGCCAGAATGAATTCTGGGATATTAAATACAGTAATTTCTAGTTTGAATATGGAGCTCTAAACAAAGGTGAAATTATAACTGGAGATACATATATCATTGCCCTAATGTAAAAGTCGGCCCCCTTATCATAAACAATTTCCCAGACATTTTGATGCGGACATCACTTATATTATTATCGCACTATTTTACTTTTTCTAGTTATTGGGCTTGTATTATTGGTTTGGCCCAAGCCCATCACTGGTAGGGTTATGCTTTTACTATTTATATGGTTTTTCAGTTGTAATTTCAATAGACGATGATGAATTAGAATTGAAGTATTGTTTGGCTTGCAGCCGTTTTTCTCCCTCCCCTCTCTTCCCCTGGTTCTTCTCCTCTTCTCCCTCCTCTCGATTTCTCTTTCTAGCAACTCCTAGTTCTCGACACATCATAGAAATATGGGACACAATCTCCAGCAGCTATCAACTCTGGTTTAAATATTACCTAATAACAACATGCAGATAAAGGAAAATGCACAGCGCTTATGCATCCAATTGATGGGGAGGCAGGTTCACAGGAAAGACGTATTGCGTAACCTAGAAACTCAGGAATCCATCTCAAATTGCACAGTCAAAGAACGGCTGCCATTTAAGATTTGTCAAAGGAATAAGGGGAGACATCTAAAAAACAGAAAAGCCTGTAACACTTAATGTGCTAAAGGAAGTGAAGAGAATAGTCTAGTTAGGGCTAGGCAAATCTCCCGAACCGAACCGAACCCGACGGTTCTTGTCAAATTAAATACCCGAACGGGCATCTGAATTGGGAACCGACAGGTACGGTTCGGTTCTCGATTCTAGACCAAGAACCGAAGAATCAAATAAGAACCGAATCTTTCTAATTTTTTTTTTTATATTGAATAAATCAAATTATTTTAATTTTAATTTTAATTTTAATTTTTTCTTAACAAATTAACAATTTCTAAATCCAAATTTTTGGCCCAATAATTTGTTTCATTTCTAATTTTTTAATTTTTGGCCCAATTACCCATTTTTGTCTCATTTCTTAGCTCAACAAGATCCAACCCACTAAATAACCCTAAACACCTACACTAAAGTGCATAACACTGTCTCCACTCTCGCAGCCTCGCTGACATTCCAAAACCTACACAATCGTCGACTGACGCTGTGACCTCCGCCAACCGAAATTTTGATCGTAGCGATCATTTGAACAAGATAGTCTACTAGTCTCTGACATTTTAAAATCATTGAATATGTCATTAGTTGTATTTATATAATGTTGTTATAAATGTTAAAAAATTTAATTATAGTATAGAACCGAACCGAACCTGAACGGTTCTATAATTATATTTGGACACGACGGTTCCATTTACTAAATACCTGAAAATTTTGGTTCGGTTCGGTTCTCTTTAGAACCGAATCGACCCGCGCCCACTCCTAAGTCTAGTGCTAAAGAAAATCAAAGTTTAAAGTTGACATACTTGAATGCTGGCTTTTAGGATATGAAGTATAAACAAACGAGAAACATGTGCCTTGAAACATGACAAATACACTAGTGAAAACAAGTAATGATGTGATTACACGAATTGAATGAAGTTTATCATGTCAACGCATTTGCCAAATCAATACAAATAAACATTAAGAGTATCTCTACTCATTGTTCGGTGTTGGTCTATGAAACCTCTGTAGCTACGATACTGAAGCCTGGAGGTGTTTAATTAAGTGATCTACAACCACTATTATGGAAAAAGGAAAAACAGAATCACCATGTGCACGGTAGCAGTGTGAATCAATATCTAAAATCAATATTTGTCTCTGAAATCAGCATACTAATAAAATAAACTCTAAATAACACAACACAGATGCCCTTCAATTTCTTAATTAATTAATTAAGTATCAATTCAATGCATTTTTCATTATCTTGTACATTTTCTAAAAATTCAGTGCACAAAATTCAAAAATTATTGTTTTCAAAATGAATTAAAAAAAAGAAAGCCTTCTAACCCAGAGGATAACAAAGTGAAGGCTGAAATATGAAGAATGGAAGTGATTGTTCAGTTGATTTTCTGTTGATCACATTTAAAAACAAACTACTAAGAAAAGCTGCATTCATAATCCTCTATAAAAATAAACCATTTGAGTTAACATTCACACGCAAGGAAAATTAAGATGTGAAACACAATAAACTATGCATTCTATCAATTTAGCAGAATAGAATGTATACCGAATATGCCTCTGCCTGATAAGCACTCGGGCATGATGAATTGACTTGGCCATACCAGCCTTGAACACAAGAGTTTGGAGGCGGCGTTCGAGGAAGTTCTCCACAGTAAGCGACAAGACATAATCGAGCTTATTCTGGCTCTCGTCCAAAAGCCCGTACCTGTTCATCCTGCGTAGAAGGGCTTCACCCTCAAAGATTCGGCGAGGGTCTTTCTCATCTAGGGTGAGAAGATTTCTAGCAGCATTACGAATACGACTCAATGCATACTGCACCCTCCAGAGCTCTCTCTTGCATCGGAGACCATATTCACCAACAAGCTTCAGCTCTGCATCCAAACGCTCCTTCTCGTATGGACGACGAGGCTTCTTAAATGTTTTCCCATCTGTTACAAGCCACAGTTGCAAAAAAAAGGATAAATATTCTATAACATACTCTACCACTGCGTAAAGCAACTATTTAAATTTGTTTATGCAAATTGATAAGAGATAAAACCTAATAAATAAAAATAATACAGGACAAAGAGAAACAATTCTTTGGCATTGGTTGTTAGAAAGACACAGGACATATTTAAACTAAAAAATTAATCGTCGAGATTCTTATTACTAGAACATTGGAGCCAAAAGCTCCATTTGACCGTAGAATTACTCTTTTTTGCCAAGATTCTGGACCAAATCCACCTGAAAAAATGTTGAATAAAATAAAAGATAAACGTTTCTTTATTTTGAGTACTGTCCCAGGATCTCTAAACCAAACCCCAGAATTATTAACCAACAAATATATATAGTATAACAAAATAAGTGATGCACAAAGACAGTTTAACAATTTGAGTCAAATTTGAAGCTTGATTCGTATGTCACAATGAAGATCACGGAACTTAATCTCACACTCGCAACCCCCACGCAAACATGAACACGGAGAGAGAGAGAGAGAGAGAGAGAGAGAGAGAGAGAGAGGGAGGGGGGCTCACAGTTGCGGTAAAAACTGACATGAACCATGGCTGCAAGCTACGTCGGCTGGAAGAAGAAGAAGAAATACAAAATTGAGAGGACGATTCATTTTATAGGTAAACCCTAAACCCTTTTCTATCAGGGTAATTTGCAGCCACAACCATACGTTTATTTTCGTTTTGCAATTGGATCCTTTATCTTTGTATCTTGATATTGTCATCATCAATCTTTGATAAATTGACTGTCACCGTCCATACTTACTCTTCCATCAACATTGCCGTTAGATTCGTTTAACAAGACAAAATTGACCTCAAAATTTAGAAGACGAAAATTAGAAAATGAAGGGGAAAAAAAAACAAAAAAAAATTCATTTTTCTCTTACCTTTTCCAATTGGGCCACCCAACTCATACACAACAATAAATGTTTTGATAGGGTGATAAATCATTTGTGTTTTCATCTAATTTTTTATTTATTCCTTTCTTACTTTTTATCAAGAATTTTTCTGCAAGTACGGAAAAAGAATTGCTTTTTTTTCCGTATTTTTGTCATCTTCCAATGATAATCTGTTAAGTGTTCATCTGTATGATTTCTGTAAAAAAATTTCTCTACCTATAGCATTTTTTTTAATCAAACTACTCATTCAAAATGGTGACATGTTCCATTATATGTTGATAACTAGGATTGTGATATCACTTTGAGGTAGACGACGAACACATTTGAAGTTTGACAACTTTTGACTAATTTTGAAATCTAAAATTTTACAGTCCGATTTTATTTTAAATTATAGCCTACCTTGCGATATATAATTATCAATTAATAAACAACTAAACAAGTTAAAACATATCTATCTAAAATCTATAATCTACATTTATTTATAAGAGAGTTATTTATAACATGTTATTTAGCTAAGAGAACCTTCACCAAGTGGGAGAGACTAAGTCCTTTAACTTGATAGTGACAAAAGTGGAAATTAAACTATTTTGTATCCCATTGATCAAAAGTTATTTTTCAGTTTCCGTTTTTCATTAGAACCGATTACTCTGGTTCTGCTTTGCTACTCATATTATTCATGGTATGTATAGTCGATTCAATTTCAAGAAATTTCATTAAATTTGTACAGGTTCAATATTATTTCAAGAAGCCCGCTACGTTTATAGAACGGGGCTTTACAAAAGAACTATGTTTTGGGCTTAATCTCTTTGTGGGGGTACGTAAGCAACCCATATATTTTCGGAAAAAGCCCCTCTATTAATAATAAAATATATTTTCATCTATCCATGAACTATTTTGAGCATGTATTTGACTTATATCTTTTTATTGTGATATTATTGGGATCTAGAGATATGCTAGATAAAGACATAAGATGAGTTTCTTTTTGAGACATATAACTTCATTTTGATCTGAAGCATTATGATGACCGATATGAATTAGCATAGTTTTTTTTTTTTATCACATTTGGAGTTAAGTTCATGCCACATACTACCACATTGGTTGGAAGATGGAGATCCATGTCGATAAAGATGTTGGTATTTGTAGCTGTGTAATTGTCTTACATTGCTTAATTGGTTTAATGACTTCCATGTTCGATGTTAATATTCTTGTTGGATCGGATCATGTTACGTAAGGTGTCAACATTGGAGCTATACTTTAGTGGCCACCTGTGTAGTCTAACCTAGGTGTTAAAAGTTTTGTTTTAATAATCAAATATCTGTCCAAATGGGAGAATGTTGGAATAATTCCAAATATGAGCTTCACATTCGATTGTAAATTTTACGAGTTAGATGTATGGCTTACAATGACATTATGATTAGGCCAATTACATTAAGTGATCAACTTGGACCGTTTTACACCTTACGGGCTTTATTTGATATAATATGGTAATTTCGAGAATATGCCGTAAACCCTAATTAGGGTTTAAGTCGATAATGGGAAGACTCAATAAATTCCTATATAAAGGCTATGTCTCCTCTCCTCTCCATATGATTTTATTAGTTTGCCCCATTGATGGTCAACACTTTTGTGAAGAGCAAAGAGGGGAAGATCTGGCTACTATTATTCATATTAACGATGGCTTCCGTAGGTATGAATTCGATTTATCAATTTATGATTTTGCGATTCTTGATTTTTAGCATGATTAAAATTTATTTTCAACAGTGTTGTGTTTTGAATCGATGAAATGGCGTTGAGTTGGTGGAGGACTTAAACATTTGAAAGAAGTTAACTAGCTATATCCAATTTACTTACTCATTAACGAGATAATAGAATTTGATGTAATGATGTCTTTTAATAAAAATAAAAAATACTGAATGAAGTAACTTTGTATCACACCATGAATCATATCTAGCTAATGAACATAAATGCATATGCTTTTAAACACTTTTGGTCGAATTGTAACATGTATATATTATATGCGTTTTTTTTTTTTTTTAAATTGAGACATTTAACATTTATGGTCTGTTTGATTGTAAAGATGGAATTTGGATGTAAAAAAAACTAATTCCGTGGAATTAAATTGTTTAGAAATTGTTTTCCTGAAAATTGTAAATTATTGTATTTGATTGGTATAATTTTCCACGTGAAAATTGTTGAAATAAAAGTGTTTTTTTGGTATTCGTTTGACTTTGTTTTACATGAAAATTATCAATTAAATGGTATATTTTATTGGTATTGGAGATAAAATTTGTTTCCATTGCAAAAATAAAAAATAAAATTTTTTTCAAGAAAATCATCTATCTTTTTATGTTCGTTTGACTTTGTTTTACATAAAAATTTCCAATTAAAGGGAAATATTTTTTTTTACAATAATTCTTAGAATTTGTTTTCATTGTCAAAAAACAAATAATAATAAATAAACAAAAAAATATAAATGCTACAGTAATCCGGGAAAATGGATTATCACCCATTTTGGTTAGAATTCATTTTCCTCCAAAACAAGGAAAATATCTATGTGGTATAAAATTGTGGAAAATGAGTTCCAAAAAAATTTTTGCCAATCAAACACCAAAAAAATGAAAAGATGAAATTGCAATTCCATTTTCCATGAAATCTCCACCCTATCAAACACACCCTTATTGTTTCGATAGCTTACGGCCACCCCTGAGAAATGGATTTATGTTATGTTGGATTTAATTAGTAGTCCATGGCAGAAACTGAAAAAAAAAAAACACATTTTACGTATGAAGAGAGATGTTGAGTAGAAATCACTGCAACACAAGATAATTTGGTGCTAGGGATGATAAATATTTCTCCCTTTTTGCTTCTCCTTCACATTAAATTGCCCCCAATTTTTAGTGTATTACCGAGGAAGAAAACCTTAGCCGCTTGTCTTCCTTCGCTCAACTTGAGGAGGCATGGGTTCATAT